TTTAGCAAAATGCCCCTCTCTACAGTTTATTTTTCTATCTGACTAATGAGTTTATGGTCACCGAATATGTTTTTCTGAGGTAAATGTGACGTTACGTGACATGGTTTACAAGACGTTATATTGGCGTCTTTGCGCGGCTGAAACACAGATTGAGCGATTACATGAGACAGGATACGGCTTGTAAAGGTATACTCTTTCTTTTAACTTGCCTTCGGATGTTTATTCATGATTACTTTGTGCTGAAACTGGTATTAATGTGGAGGAGATGATTAGTTCACGCACGCCTCGCGCTGTTAAACTGAGGCACTACAGCGATCTGTCACTCCACATTAAACAGCACCAAAACGGCATTTGTTGTTTGAATACTGAAATACAATGGACAGAATTTGAAATCTGAGACTTTGCTTCATATTAAAAGTACCAAAGCACAATGCTTATTGCGATATATTGGATGGGAAGTGCCCTTCAATGTTCGGTCCATTAACTGAAAACAGGCTAGAACAGGGGTGCCCAAACTCAGTCCTGGAGGGCCGGTGTACACACCTGCTGGTAAGTTTCTAGTATGCCTATAAGAGCTTGATTAGCTGGTTCAGGTGTGTTTAATTGGGGTTGGAGCTAAACTCTGCAGGACACCGGCACTCCAGGACCGAGTTTGGGCACCCCTGGGCTAGAATAATCGATTCTTGAGATTTAAGAATCAGTATCGTTCCGTAAAAATGAGAATCGATTAATATCGAGATACCAGTATTTTTTTACCCAGCCCTAATAAACAGTGAAGCAGAATGTTTACACACATTTCTAGTGGCCCATAATATATACTGTCATACTGCCCATGCCTATAAAAAAAAAAAAAAATGGGTCAACATAACCAGGTCTTCTGGCTGATATTTTGATGCGTGTTTTCAGGCCAACTTGTGTTCTTAACTACACTCATTAGTACACACTGTGTACACAAAAATGTATTAGTAAGAGTTACAGTGTACAGAAACATTGGAACACAGGTTGTGAATGTGGGAAGGGGTGGTGGGATTTGGCAAAGTCGAAGTTACTGAGACAGAGTACTTCATGTTATTAGTTCTAAAGGGTCACTTAACAGAATGCCACAGAAGTGCTATTGATAGAAGGCTCTTTACTCGGAGAGTAAACCCTCATCAATACAGCACAGTGAGTCTGAGCAGATGTCATGGCTCTTTGGCTTCACGGTGACTCTTACAGACAGTGATCGGCAACTGCGATGCTGTGAGAGTCGAGCTGAGGCGAACTTCCTCCAGTGACAGAACGTAACATGCTGCTGTCTCAATGAGAGTGATTTCAATTTGAAACCAGATTAGATTACTTGCAGAGAGATTTAATGATGAAAACCTGCCAGCCTTTTCTTACAACAATGTCTAGCAAGTAAAAAAGGATAACTATACTGTAGGACCAATGAGGGACACAACTGCTTTGCCCCTCTTTGGTCAGTGTATTGTGAATGGTGGAGTTGAAGACCGAAGGGGAACAAACCTGCTTTCCCTCTGCTCTGTCTTGTACTCAACAGCGATCAACAACAACTTGAGCTTCACATAGCACAGCCTGAGAACAGAGAACAGACATTTAGTGTCCATAAGTCATCATTCAGCTATTTAAATTCGTAAGACCAATTGAATTGGCCTTTAAAAACTATTTAATGTTGATCTACTGCAATCAGAAGAGTCTATTACAGTGAAATGTCATTGGTTCAAAATCTTGCCTCACATTAAATATAAAAATTTGTTCCAACTGGCTGTGACTGTGTCAAGCAACAGTTTCACATTCAGTGTGGACAAACAAATTGTTTGACACTGAAAATGTATCACATCACATCTGGTCAGGACATGTGATAGTTTAGGTTTGCAGTAAATTTGGCAGTATATTAAAAAATAATTTATTAGAGCCTTTATGATACTTACTACAGCGTGTTTGTATAGAGTAACTGCGTGCTGTAAAGCTCCCATGCTTTAGAGCAGAAGCATACTTACTCACAAACTGTAGGAAATGAAAGCCCCACAAAGGCACTGGACAGGTACTCAGTGTACATTTCATTGGCCACTCCCTCCAGATAATACTTCTGCCATGTGTCCTCCTCAATCTGCACAGCAAAAACAGTTGGATTCAGATACACACAGTAAGGGAGGACACCATTTAATTTGATGGAAATGGATAGACAGCAATTAGAACATGTCTAAACATTTTTTCGAAATGCCTCAAGAAAATTATATCGGACTTAGTAGTTCACCCAAAAATAATAAAAAAAAAATGTTATCATTTACTCAATTTCATGTCTAAACCCATAAAACGTTTGCTCATCTTTGCCCATCAACAAATGGAGATATTTTTTAATGAAACCTGAGTGATTTATGTGCCTCTATTAAAAATCCATTCCACCAAACCATAAATATATCATAAGAGAAATCAATATGAATCAAGCACTTTAAAGCCAAGTCTTCTGAAAGGCACAATTGCTTTATATTATATAAAGAATTGTGTTTTTTCAGAAGATTTTGAGATTGGACAGATTAAATGTGGGCTTTTATTCACATAAAAACTCTGGTCAAAGCTCATATATAGAGCTCATCAAATATGGTAATTGTAAAGTAGACACAAAAACCAATGAGGCTTGTTTACCATATTTGATGTAGTCTATGTATGCATGTTGATATGAATAAAAGCCTAAATAAATCTGTTTTTCATATAAAATAATTAGGTCTCCTCAGAAGACTTGGATTAAATTGCTTGATTAATTTTTACAATCACTTTATGAACTTTTTAAAGTTTTGGTGTAATGGATTTTCAATGGAGGTACTGAAATCTTTTGTGTTTCATTAAAAATATCTAAGTCTTATGGGTTTGGAATGACATGAGGGTAAATAACTGAAGACTGTTTTTGGGTGAACTATCCTTTAACAAACATGTTTTTCAAAGAGTCTTCAAGTGGAAAAAAAAAGCTGTAGAAAACAGCTTGTTTTCCTGTGCATCAAATTAAGTATGGAATCTACCGGCTAAGGTGGATAACTAAAATGATGCATTGTGCATCTCATATCATGAGTGCCATTCATTCAAAACACAGTTTAAACATGCCTTACACTTTGAAGTTGCTCTATCATTCTTTCACACCTGTAACATTTCAACCTTTGTCAGACTTGGAGAATAAAGGCCAGGCATATTCCCGTGTCTGAGCTCACAGCTGGTCTCTTCATCATCCTCTCATTACATGCATCTCAGAATGTGGAGTGGGTGGGGCTGTGATAAGCAGTGGGGCTATTAGGCAAACACTCTGCCATTAGTCAGCCATCTCGCCCAGCCAACGTCTGTCTGCCAGAAAGTCAAGAGAGACGCTTTCAAAGCCAAGCCTGACTCTCTTTCTCACTGCCAGGCTAAGAGCACTTGCATTCTGGGCAGGCATCCTTTAGGGCGGCACTAATGGGTAGAGTTCTGTCATTTAGTCCTAAAGAGATGGCAGCCATTTACCGTAGGCTCCCTAAATTACCGCGCACGTTTGCGCTCTGCCTGTCAGAGCTGATGTAAGTGTTACGGGCGTGTTCTCTCGCACCCACTGAACAATTATTTTCTCCAGTCTCTCTAGAGAGCCCGATCCAAAAGCCCTCTGCTTACTGCTTTTTTGTTAAACCTGAAGAGACCAGATAAAAGATTCATGCTGAACGTTCTTGTGGTTTTATTTGTAGTGAACGGCACAACACATCAGAGATTTATAGTTAGAACAACAGACATAATGGAAATGTGTTTGTGGCTGTGTGAATGTGTGTGTCCTTGGGGTGTGGGTCTCATTAACACCTCTCGGTAACCCTTCTGCTCTGCTTCCTGAATGCCCACTCAAATCAGTCAAATTAGCCCTCTCTAACCCCGCTTCTTCAGCAGACAGACCGCCTTTACACTCTCACACATTGAGTATGTTTACACGGACAACAATATTCCGATTTTAACACGATTAAGACAATACTCTGATTAAGAATCTACCATGTAAACAGATATATATATATATATTGAAAAGTGTCAAAAAAAAGCCAAATATCCTTGGCGACCACTATTTATATATACCACAATATATCAGTCGACCACTATTTACAACATTGGCTGAGATAGATTTTTTTTTTTAATCCTTAAGAAAATTGTAATTATGATTGAATTTAAAGACAGAGCAACAATTTGTTCAGAAACAACTGTTTAATAAAAAAGAAGCAATTTTATGTTTCGTTTTTTCCCCCTGCTGTACCGAAAATATACTGAACCATGACTTCAAAAACCAAGGTACACACTGACCCATCATTTTTTGTGTAAAGTTACATCCCTAGTAGACAGCAAGGCAGCTAATGTAGTATTGGGACAGAGTCTTTTTTACAGCAAACCTAAATAAAAAAATAAAAAATAAAAATAAAAATAATGCTTCTATTGCACAGCTAATGGACAATGTTAAAGGGTTAGTTCACCCATAAATGAAAATTCTGTCATTAATTGCTCATCCTCATGTCGTTGCAAACCCGTAAGACCTTGTTCATCTTTGGAACACAAATTAAGATATTTTTGATGAAATTTGAGAGCTTTCTGACCCTGCATAGACAGCAACTACCACATTCAAGGCCAAGAAAGGTAAGAACATACAGTAGTTAAAATAGTCTGTGACAAGAGTGGTTCAACCTGGTTCATCAGACCATAAATTAGTTTGTGTTCTGAAGATGAACAAAGGTCTCACAGGTTTGGAACAACGTGAGGGTGAGTAATTGATGACAGAATTGTCATTTTTGGTTGAACTATCCCTTTAACTTTTCAGCATTTTTCTCTGTATCACAGTTTGTTGCCATCAGACTCATTAAGAGATGCCCGGCATTTTAAACAATACTGATACACTTTCCCCTTCACCCTAACAGATGCCCTGTTTGAGTCATAGAAAGTGTTTTTGGTGTTACCATGGTATCTTTTGTAAGCATGGACATTGGTCTGAGAGGTTAGATGTGTGTTGTGTTGTATGCTGTACTCTGGCATGGGTGATCTGGGCTGTCTCTCCTCTGTGTTTTTATGAGAAGAGTGATGTGCCCTGCAGATGTTTCCGCACATGCCACATTTAAACAGTCATTATAAAGTCATTCCTCATCTCTTTATGACAAGAGAATGCTGCTCTCCATGTCAAAAGCCTGTGCAGTTTTGAAAAAAAAAATCAAAGAGAGTAAAATATAGCCCCTTGCGGATTTCAGAATAAGTTTTACAATCTCTGCGAAATTCTTCAGTCTGATCGCACACTCACGCTCTCTCTTGATCTCTCCGTTTTTCCAAAGGGCTCCATCCAAATCTGAACCACCTCACTGCAGTCATTCAGGCCTCAGACCATTTTATTTAGTGTTTTCTTAAAAAGAGCGATCCGTACGGCTCTGAGCAGTCTGGTTCAGTTGGACGATAAATAAAGATGGCTTTGGGGTGCCGTTCATTGACTATGAAACAGGCACATGGTTCGCATTTCCCCGCTCTATCGGCACGCAGGAGGACAGTAAATTCAGCGAGAGGAAAAACCACTAATTTACATCCTCACTTCCACCATGCCATTGACTCATATAAATTACCTCATAATGGCAGCAGCAATGCTGTGTTGCCGTCCCGAGTAGGTCCCAAATGAGACCGCCAGGCTCAGAAAATGATTTACTCCATACTATAATGGCTCTGGTGATTGAGCTGAAGTGGGGATGGAGGCTGATTCTACTCTATGGGTTTTATCAAGGCCCAAGACGGGCTGACGGTACCTTGATATATGACCTCATGGAGAAGAGGTTGGCGAGCATGGTGGACAGGCCCTGTGCCAGGCAGCTCTGGGCTATGAAGCCTGCCTTCAGCTCGGCCAGGCAGATCGCATCATCACCCTCCTTCCAGTTCCAGCTGGGAATGTTTAGCAGATGGGCCTGAGGACACATGGGACAAGACAAGGGGAAGTTAACAATGTCCCCAGCTGAGAAGTCTAACAAGTGTAGTAATGAAATACACCAGCAAAAAAAGTGAAAATCAATACATTTCTTACAGTTTAGGGAGAAGTGAAAGATCAAAACTAATTTGTAGCAGATAAACATGAACTTATTATATATTATATTAAGGTTTGAAACGTACAGTAGAAAACACTGTCAAAACAAAGCATGTTACAACAGTCCACAGTCTGCCCTACCTAGTTAGATTATATAAATCTGTCAAACTGATAACGCAAATCTCATAACAGTAGCACGTCACTATTTCATCTCATTGCTAACACAGCGGGTTTGCTGACAGTCCTCTAAAACAGTTGTCTACAGTTGACATTCAATTGCTCTCAAGTGAACTGTCCCATGAACAAAAAACATCCATCAAGTCATTAACATCCATCTCCTGTTTCTGCGCTCCCTGGTGAATACAAAGCTACGTTCATGTTGCTGTAATAGGGGATAAACATTGAAGGGAAAAAAAATATGTAGACATACTGTATTTGATTCCGGTGAACTTATAAAATGCCTGTTGTCATGGACAGCTGAATCTGAGGGTATGTTTATCTGCCACGTGTCAGATTTTTTTTTTTTTCATCAATTGTATAGCCTATTTATACATTATTTGTATTCCTTCTGTTTAGGTCTTGATAATTTTATTGTTGATTTGAATTGACAGCAACAAAAAAGATCATTTCCTACCTTGTTGTGGTACTGCAACATTTGAGTGATTATTCTGATCTTTGGATGGTAGTTCTTGATAGATATTACTCTGTAAAAAGAAGAAGCAGTTGTATTAATTTACAGGTCATTTAAAGCCAACATAAAACAGCATTTGCGGGGAAAAGAAAAAAGATAGAATATATACATTTTCAACTTGGTTTGTTTCTTTAGAAGTATACATTTAGATTGAAGGTGCATTCAGTAATTTATTGCTTATTAAAAAACACAAAGATACACTTCAAAAGTTTGGGGTCGGTAAAATTCTTTAATGTTTTAAAAAGAAGTCTCTTATGTTCACAGAGGCTGCATTTATTTGATTAAAAATAGAGTAAAACCAGTAATATTGTGAACTGTTTTCTATTTTAAGTTACTTAACATTTTTTGTGGAAACTGTGATACAATTTTTCATGATTTTTTTGATGATTTCAAAGTTCAAATAAAATATATTTGAAATACTTTTTTAAACAATTACATTTCTTTTTTTTATCAATTTAATGCATCCTTGCTAAACAAAATTATTATTTCTTTCTTACTGACCTCAAACTTTTGAACGGTAGTATACGAGCGGCACTTTTGAGAAATATCATTAAAATGATGTACACTCACATGAGACGAAGACTCTAGACATATTAATCTTCTAGAAAAATCTGTTTTATTCTGCATGGAGCAGGTCGCTCCCTCATATAAACAAAAACCTACTGAGTGCACCTTTAACCTCCAGGAGGACCGTCCCACAATTCACCATCGTAAGTCACTTTGGATTAAAAACAAGCATCTGCTGAATGAATAAAAAATTAATTAATCTTTCATTTCCATAGAGGAGCCTGTGATATGTGGCGAAACGGTGTGATTTCCCTGTGAAATCCAGTCTGGATTTCTCTCCAGTCACGTAAGAGAGGTGCAGAATTTATTTCCATATTAAGCTGCTCTATAACACATTACTTCAAAAGAGCACTCCGAGACCTGCCTACATTAATATTTCATTTTCCGAACAGTCCAGCCTGGGTGCAATTCTGTGCGTTACTCATGGCTAAAGAACATCTCCAGCATGAAAGGAGGAAGGGAAATATGTTTGCCTTCACTTCACACACGTGTTTTCAGAGCAATATTACTTGACTCCGTCCCAAAGGAAATTCCTCCTGGCTCCTTTCATCTGTGTCCAGGTATAACATGTGTGAATCTGACCTGAGACGCCGAGTATCCCATTCACACCTTCCTTTAACAGCACAGGAGGGTGAAAGACATCATCTTTTTTACAGGAGGATGTCCCTAGTGAGTGTATGATGCTGCTGCCCACAAACATTAAAATAAGATGTGCTCAAATGTGTTGATAGCAAACGCAACCCTTCACCGAACTGACCTCATGATATTAGAGGCATCTTCAGCATCGGGGTCTGCACAGTATTTGTTTGCAAGAATCAAGCAGGCGTCCGCTGACTCGATCTGTACAAGATGAAGAAGAAGAGTTGACGCCTCAGTGTTCAGAACAGCATCAAAACATAAAAAAATATGCTAACATTATTATCTGTACAATTCTGTATCTGTATCCTGATTATTAAATTGTCAGATCAAACTGGAAGAAATGCTAAGTTTTTCTGAGGTTACCTTTACTCTTGCTAGATCATGCGGGTTGAGGACCGATCCTTGATAGAATTCCACCTGAGTGAAGTGACGTTTGAACAAGGCTTCCAGCTCAAGATTAGGGGAAATACTAGAGTTTGGCAAAAAAAAAGAAAGCGTGTCACTAATGAAGAAGAATACTTTTTTGAGAATGCTTTAAGTTTATAGGAACAATGTGTCATTTGTGCGCCACTAGCGGCTAACAAAAGAATGTCAAAACAACTTACTGGCTGATCTCTGTTATATAAAACAGGCAACTCTATTTGATGTATGTGTTTTTCTTAGTAACATGCAGTCATTATATTCTTTACAGTGCGGAAAGGCTCCATCAAGATTATAAAAAGTATTCCAAAGGGAATTGTACTTACTTATGAAGAAAAACAATTTCTACATTGACATCATCCCTGTCCTTGTGTAGGAAGTCTTTAAGGAAGTTGGAAACACTTTCGAGCGTGATATGACCACAGACCACAATGTGCCTGTAAGGGGGAAAATTCAGCTGAAGAGTGCAACATAAAATAAAACAAAACTCTGGCATATCCTAAAAAGGAGCATAAAGTCATAATAACCAAACATGTCTTGAAAACATTAAATGCTGTGGCTTTCAAATATTCACTGTCCGTTATAGTCATAACAGCACATGTTGTTTTACCTCATATTTATAAACATGGTTTAAAACATTAAATGAAGTGCTTTGAACTTTTCAGGACAAACAAAACTGAATCTTACGTTTTAATGTTGGATCGTCAAATGTTCTTAATAAGCCGTGTCTCTGTAGCCAAACCACCCCTGTGCTAGGACGCATGTTGACATGCACATCAATAATACACTGACAAGTATCGGAACCCCTGTCAAAAGCGGTTAAATTGTTTTTGGATCTGTGGCTGCCATGAACTCTAACCGTGACTTCTCCGGACAGGCACCGAATGAAAAACTTGCAATATATCAGATGGAACAAACAAACAGACTCAACTGGATTGTTCCAGAGGTCACGGTCTTCTGGGGCTCATTTATTCTGCCTCCATAGTAAGATCTAGTTTCATACTCTAGAGCCGTTCCAAAACCTATTAGTGAGCCGCCTTGACATCTTCTGGCTATATCAGCAGCACTCAAACAGCGCTTCTGTGATGTATTAGCTAAAGCTAAGGATGCAATAATTGAACTAAGCAATAATCACACAACAGTACAATAAACAAATTACTTGACATTGAGCAACTTATATTTTAGATTCAATATAGTCAGTTGTAGACTTGTGCCGGTATTCGGAAATGCGATATATCACGGTAATGACTATGCACGGTATTGTTATCGTGGGCTCTTCTAAATACCGTGAATAATTATATATTACAAATTATTTAGAATTTTGAATGCATTTTAAGAATACTTTTCCCATCAACTGGTCAAAATGCACAACACCGCTGTACGCTGCTACGTGAAAGACGCGTGCGCACTCTGATGTAAATAAGCGCGGACGAGAAGCACATGGCGGAACATGTGAGAGACGCTCTGGATGAAAGCGCACTTTCACTCTCTGACAGCAGATGGCGCTAAACTGCAGAAATAATAATAATAATAATAATAATTCATTTAAATGCAGCAGTTACCCCGGAAACCCTGTAAACAAAGCAGCTGCACTACTTTCTGTTTCTGAAAGGTGTTTAAATTATTTAAACAGTCATTCAGATTTGTGTATTTGC